AGGTTCTCTTATTCGTAGTGGTGATGTAAGGGTGAGAGAGACCGAGGAAGGCCTTGAGCTCAGCTGGATTTCTAGTTTCGTGGTTGAGTTTTCTGTTATGGCAGTTGGAGGGGGGGGGAATCCTCTTCAGATTTGTAAACTGGGCATTACTGTGCTGTGTAACGTTCCCGCAGTGTCTCTTTTACAGCGGTATACATCTGATGAAGTGAGCTGTAGCTCACGAAAGCTCATGCTCAAATAAATTGGTTAGTCTCTAAGGTGCCACAAGTACTCCTTTTCTTTTTGCGGATACTCAGAATAGGCTGCATTTTGAGTAGCAGCTCGGCACCTCAGAGTGTATTGTTACCAATTTCAGGTCACAAAGTGTAGTTCTTACTCAGTGCAATTGCTAGTTCTTGCTGCTTGCTATTCCTAGTGATATACCTGTCAATAAGCAGGGCTGGAGGCTAGATCCTTGTTATAAGGGGGGGGAAGTAAGTCTGCTTGCTCTAATATTGTGTTATTCCCTCTAGGGAATAAAGGACAATATTCACATTTTGAAAAAGTGCAGTATTGCAAAAGAGCAAGCTTTGCTTTATTGCCTGTGTTCAGGCTTCAGTCTCCGGGGCTGTTCAGTGCTGAGTAGGAAGTCACCAACTGGCCACATAAAGTTGCACCAACTGAGAGCCATTATTGAGTGGGCAGCAAAAGGGACTCTGTGGAGATAGAGGTGGTTAGGGACTATTTAGAAAAGCTGGACGTGCACAAGTCCATGGGGCCGGACGAGTTGCATCCGAGAGTGCTGAAGGAATTGGCGGCTGTGATTGCAGAGCCATTGGCCATTATCTTTGAAAACTCGTGGCAAACGGGGGAAGTCCCAGATGACTGGAAAAAGGCTAATGTAGTGCCAATCTTTAAAAAAGGGAAGAAGGAGGATCCTGGGAACTACAGGCCAGTCAGCCTCACCTCAGTCCCTGGAAAAATCATGGAGCAGGTCCTCAAAGAATCAATCCTGAAGCACTTGCATGAGAGGAAAGTGATCAGGAACAGCCAGCATGGATTCACCAAGGGAAGGTCATGCCTGACTAATCTAATCGCCTTTTATGATGAGATTACTGGTTCTGTGGATGAAGGGAAAGCAGTGGATGTATTGTTTCTTGACTTTAGCAAAGCTTTTGACACTGTCTCCCACAGTATTCTTGTCAGCAAGTTAAGGAAGTATGGGCTGGAAGAATGCACTACAAGGTGGGTAGAAAGCTGGCTAGATTGTCGGGCTCAACGGGTAGTTATCAATGGTTCCATGTCTAGTTGGCAGCCGGTATCAAGTGGAGTGCCCCAAGGGTCGGTCCTGGGGCCGGTTTTGTTCAATATCTTCATAAATGATCTGGAGGATGGTGTGGATTGCACTCTCAGCAAATTTGTGGATGATACTAAACTGGGAGGAGTGGTAGATACGCTGGAGGGGAGGGATAGGATACAGAAGGACCTAGACAAATTGGAGGATTGGGCCAAAAGAAATCTGATGAGGTTCAATAAGGATAAGTGCAGGGTCCTGCACTTAGGACGGAAGAACCCAATGCACAGCTACAGACTAGGGACCGAATGGCTAGGCAGGAGTTCTGCGGAAAAGGACCTAGGGGTGACAGTGGACGAGAAGCTGGATATGAGTCAGCAGTGTGCCCTTGTTGCCAAGAAGGCCAATGGCATTTTGGGATGTATAAGTAGGGGCATAGCGAGCAGATCGAGGGACGTGATCGTTCCCCTCTATTCGACATTGGTGAGGCCTCATCTGGAGTACTGTGTCCAGTTTTGGGCCCCACACTTCAAGAAGGATGTGGATAAATTGGAGAGAGTCCAGCGAAGGGCAACAAAAATGATTAGGGGTCTGGAACACATGAGTTATGAGGAGAGGCTGAGGGAGCTGGGATTGTTTAGCCTGCAGAAGAGAAGAATGAGGGGGGATTTGATAGCTGCTTTTCAACTACCTGAAAGGGGGTTCCAAAGAGGATGGCTCTAGACTGTTCTCAATGGTAGCAGATGACAGAACGAGGAGTAATGGTCTCAAGCTGCAGTGGGGGAGGTTTAGGTTGGATATTAGGAAAAACTTTTTCACTAAGAGGGTGGTGAAACACTGGAATGCGTTACCTAGGGAGGTGGTGGAATCTCCTTCCTTAGAGGTTTTTAAGGTCAGGCTTGACAAAGCCCTGGCTGGGATGATTTAACTGGGAATTGGTCCTGCTTCGAGCAGGGGGTTGGACTAGATGACCTTCTGGGGTCCCTTCCAACCCTGATATTCTAGGATTCTATGACTGTGCATGGTGGACAGGAGCGAAAATGCATACATTAGAAGGGAGCTGTAGTGCCTCCCAGCACCTTTGCCTCTTGAGTGCTATGTGCTGAATGCTCCAGAGAGATGGCAGCATTTCGTATTTAATGTTTTGGTGTGAATATAATGCTGAATAGCCCAAGTGATCAAGTCTTTTCTAGCGACAGAGAGGATTCCACAGAGGCATCAGCAGTACACAGTGCCTTGCTAACATGCCTTATCTCCCTCGCCATAGAGAAAACCACCAAAGGAGTCAGTTACTTACAAAGTTGACTGGCACTTTAATAATACGTAAGGTCTCTATGGACCTGATGGAACAGCCGATTTCCTGTATACATCATCTGAATCTGTTCAATCCAGCCATTGATGTCTGGCCTTCTGTTCTTAGTCCACTGTTAGAGAATAGCTTTCTAAGCCAATAGTGTTAGCATGAAGAGACCCTTTCTTGTTCCCTGTACCGATGACCGCTCCCCTCAGGTATACGTAGTGCCGGTTACACAGTACAATGCTCTTTCATGGAGTACTTTCGCAATGATTGCAGATATCTAATTGTGAAACCATCTGTTTTCTGGGCTATATTTCTCCCATGTGTGCTATTAAATATCTAGGAATATTCAGCCAACTGGATCACTCAGTTGGCCGTTCAATTTTTTGGTGAAGCTAGAACTGAGTTTCTCAAGCAGTGGGTCTTGACCTCCAGGGGATTCACAAAAGGTAATCCAGGGGCTTGCAAGACATTTAAAACTCTATTAAAATCTAAAACAAAAACTTGCTTCGACATTCCCTTGCCCTTCAACGTCAAATATTCTTTCAGCCTCTCGAAACACACACTAATTATATTGGCTTAGCATTGATACTCTTCCGTATATTTTTTTTATTCTTTTATGTGAGTCATGAAGATTTTTTTTTTTTTTACTTCGAATAATCTGAAAAGGTTGAGGAACACTTTTAGAGTAATATCCTTCCTAATGGTATGTTGTATTATGGAATGTTCTATTTGTCAACCAGGGGAAACCAATTATTTGAAAAATAAAGTTTTGGTATTTTCCATTAGTACAGAGTGCCCCTGTAATATCTCTTTGCCTAAACAATCTAGGCAAGATGTTGACAGCTTGATTTTTATCTCACTATTAGTTTCATCCATGCTGCTCCTGTGATAACACTCCAATAACAGGCAAAGAAGCAGTTGGGAGAGCACTTACTAACACGCTGATCAAATTCTCACAGTCCAAAGGCTCAGCAGGACAATATATAAGTGGAAACATAGACTCTGAATTTGCTGGCTCTTGTGGAGTTAATCATATTTTACTTCAGTATAACTTTTGGTAATGCTGCAGTACATACAGCATTTAGATATTCGACCTGTGTACGTACATGTTTGTTTTATGTGATTTATAATAGATTCCAGAGAATTTTTTTTTATTAAAACTCTCTCTTGTGTCATAGGCCCTGACTTTCCCTCTTTTTCCAGTAAGTGCTCGGCCCCCCTCCCCCCAGCCCCAACTCCACCCCGCCTCCCCCCCGGAACATGCTAATGCTGCCAAGCGGGGGGTAAGAGGAGCTTGGCTGCCAGTGGATGCAGAGCACCCACAAATTTTTCCCTGTGGGTGCTCCAGCGCCTATGTCTTGTGTAAACTTCCAGCCTGGGATTTAGCTGTTCTATTCCCATTAATGTTAATAGGCATTAAATCGGTAAATCCCCATATACCTCACTATATTTAACTTTTCATTCCATAGTTTCTGCACTATCTTGTCAGCCACAGTGAAATTTGCATCCTCTTTCTAGATTATCTTCATTGGTACTAACTACACTGTATAACAAGAGAAGACTGTTGTTGGCACAATTCTGATATCCTCACAAACGCTGATTTATCAGATGTAGAATATTTTTATTTAGATCGGGGTTCTCAAGCTGGGGGTTGGGACCCCTCAGGGGGGGTGAGAGGTTATTACATGGGGGGGGGGTCACGAGCTGTCAGCCACCACCCCAAACCCTGCTTTGCATCCAGCATTTATAATGGTGTTAAATATATTAAAAAGTGTTTTTTTAATTTATAAGGGGGTGGGGGTTGCACTCAGAGGCTTGTTATTTGAAGGGGGTCACCAATACAAAAGTTTGAGAACCGCTGATTTAGATGCCATGCTAGATTAAAGACCACCCTTGCTAAGTGGCTGACTCTTTACTGTTCAAGCCAAAAGCATCAAGATGGTTTTTGTAGATGGCCAAATTCCATTTTTAATTATGGTCCTTGGCCTGAAGCATAAAATTAGGACTGTATGCTACTCTCGATCAAAGTGGAACTCCTGATGTTAGTGGAACTTTGCACAAAGATCAAGGATAGACTCTGACCTCTCTGTAGTAACCTTTTCATTATCCTAAGAAGTCTTGTTCAGTATCACTTAGTGGGAAAGCATTCTCACCTTCACAGCTTCCCCTGTTTCTGTCCTTTGTTTCTCTCTGATTTGCCTCAAAGAAACCTAATGGGAGGTAAATGTGATTGGCTAATAACTATAAAACTGTTAATACTGTATGAGGGAACTACAGGCAAAGTATCCTTCACTTTCTATCCTAACCCTCTGTCTAGTGTTGCTGTGACATGTATATTGTTAAAACATGCAGTTTCATCAGCTTATGGCAATTTCGAAGTGAAGCATTATAAAATACTTATACTCTTGCAAACATTTTGTTTTGCAGTCCTGGAAGGAAACGAGACTTTTCCCCAGTCCCTTGGAGCCAGTACTTTGAATCTATGGAAGATGTTGTGGTTGAAAACGAAAATGGCAAGGATATATCCTTTTATTTTATTCCCAGACTGAATTCTTCCTGATCTCGAGTGACTGGTGGGATTGTGTATCTTGGAGGTTATCAGGGATTCTTTTACATTTTTTTAATTGTTCCCTCTATTACCCATCTTTTCCTTTGTGCTAATCAATGCTCCTGCCCCAGGCAACATCTGTGTGCCAACAATTAGGTTGCAGAAGGAAAATATCTAGAAAAGTTGGCTTCTTGGTATTGCTTTCTCGCCTCAGTTAATGTTTGGTCATTCAAAACAGTGTCCATGGGACCTAAGTAATAGTGTTAATGCTCTAGCCTTTCTCCTCTGAAGATGTGAGATCAAATTCTAATACACGCACACACAATGAGTTGACTGTCGGGTTAGTTCAAGTTCCTGGGATGGCCACTCTCTTGTGCGATGTTGACAAACCCGCACTAGAAACCTTGCAGTTTTTAGTACAATCATCATTCTGTTGAGTCCAAGGACAAGGATGGCACGATGAGGTGCAGGTCAGGATTGAGGTGCATTGGCACAGCTGTGTGGGAGAGGTTTACACTATGTATCTGTACTGGGATGAGAGCGAGCCAGGCATCTGGAGACACTGTTTCACTAGCACCAAATTCACCAGGGGAAAACCTCTCTCTTCCATAAAAGATGCTTAACTCCTCTTACGCTTCACCATGTTCATTCAGCCTGTGGATGAGTGATGCCCTTTAGCAATGTACCACTGGCTGCATGCTAATTGGGAATGGGGGAGGAACTTACTTTCCATAGAGAGGAGATCCGTAGCTAGGTTGAGAGCTTCTCTGGTGCTACCTCATCCTTCTCCTGGAACGAAGACACCTTTAAATTCTGCCCAGGATTCTGAAAAACCTTGCCAGTAGAGACTGCCTGAGAGCTGCTCTGAAACAGTACATTTCCTGAGTGCCTTCTCTTACTCTGCCCACTCTGGTTGTCCATTGGGAGCCAAGTGATGACTCTGTCCAACTGCCAAGGAAATCCCTTGGACCATTCACTTTCAGGAGCAAGGGGAACAAAAAGAAGGCTAATGCACAGGAATAAGGAGCTCTGAGTTCTTTACCTGGCTCTGCCACAGATGCGCTGAATGACCTTAGCCAAGCTATTTCTCTCTCTACCCCAGGTTCCCCATTTATAAAATGGGAACAACACCTGCCAGTCAGGACTCTTGTGAACCTTACTTATTGTTCATAAAGTGCTTTGAGATCCTTGAATAAGACGTGCTGGAGACCTGCAAAGTAGCATTTCTATAGGTTAGACTTTGTACAAATTAGTATAACTTAAACAGGTCTCAACTGCGAAGTGAGACAGGAAAAGTAAATCCTTTCCAGGCTGATAGGAAGCCAAATTACAATCCAAAGCCAAGAGCCATTATTTCTATAGGTCCGGAAGTGTGTGTGGTGCATTAGATGATTAAAAGAAAAGGAGTACTTGTGGCACCTTAGAGACTAACCAATTTATTTGAGCATAAGCTTTTGTGAGCTACAGCTCACTTCATCGGATGCATAAAAGTGGAAAATGCAGTGATGATGTTTTTATACACACAGACCGTGAAAAAATGGGTGTTTATCACTTCAAAAGGTTTTCTTTCCCCTCACCCCACTCTCCTGCTGGTAATAGCTTATCTAAAGTGATCACTCTCCTTACAATGTGTGGGCCATTTCCAGCACAAATCCAGGGTGATTAAAGTCACTATGGAAGCAACCTGAGTAATATTCCTTACTTACTTCATTTGTCACTACTGTCCATTGTTTTCTCTTGAATCATGTTCTGCATAGATTAGCAAAAAGAAAAGGAGTACTTGTGGCACCTTAGAGACTAACCAATTTATTTGAGCATGAGCTTTCGTGAGCTACAGCTCACTTCATCAGATGTTTACCGTGGAAACTGCAGCAGACTTTATATACACACAGAGAATATGAAACAATACCTCCTCCCACCCCACTGTCCTGCTGGTAATAGCTTATCTAAAATGATCAACAGGTGGGCCATTTCCAGCACAAATCCAGGTTTTCTCACCCTCCACCCCCCCACACAAATTCACTCTCCTGCTGGTGCTAGCCCATCCAAAGTGACAACTCTTTACATAATCAAGTCGGGCTATTTCCTGCATAGATCAAGGTTTTCTCACATCCCCCCCACCCCCATACACACACAGACTCACTCTCCTGCTGGTAATAGCTCATCTAAACTGACCACTCTCCAAGTTTAAATCCAAGTTAAACCAGAACATCTGGGGGGGGGTAGGAAAAAACAAGAGGAAACAGGCTACCTTGCATAATGACTTAGCCACTCCCAGTGGGGTGGGAGGAGGTATTGTTTCATATTCTCTGTGTGTATATAAAGTCTGCTGCAGTTTCCACGGTAAACATCTGATGAAGTGAGCTGTAGCTCACGAAAGCTCATGCTCAAATAAATTGGTTAGTCTCTAAGGTGCCACAAGTACTCCTTTTCTTTTTGCGAATACAGACGAACACGGCTGTTCCTCTGAAACCTGCATAGATTAGGCAGCTCTCCCAGGTTTCAGAGTTCCTACTGACTTATTTGTATTACAGTAGCACCTACAGCCCCTAACCAAAATTGGAGCCCTGTTACACTAGGCAGAGCACAAAAACATAGTAAACGCAGTCCCTGGCCTGCAGGTGGCGTTCTAAATAGATGAGACATTCAAAGGGTAGAAGGGAAAAGAGCAGAGGTGAAATGTAGAGCTGGCTGGAAATTTTTTTGACAGAATATGCCAATTCATTGAAATTGGAACATTCCAGTGGTAATCTCCCCAACTCCTCAGCAGCCGGGAGTCTGGGAGCCTCTCAAACTGGAGCTCTCATGGTTGTCAGGCTCCCTGCCATGCAGCCAGGAGCCAGGGCTGTCAGATTCTAGCTCCCTACTCTCTGGAAGGTCCCTGGGAGTCAGGTGCTGCTGGCTGCTCCATTTCATTTTTTATTTCTACTTTTTGTTCCAATCGCCCCCAAAAAACTTTTTCAAAATGTCAGGATTTCTCTTGAAACAGAAACTTTGTATTTTAGCCAGCTCTAGTGAAGTGACTTGTCCAATCAATCTGGGGCAGAGCTGGGTATTAGAGCCCAGAGCTCCTGACTCCCAGTCCAGTGTCCTATCCCTGGCGCACACTACCTCGAGATCGGTGGGTTTTAACCTTTTTTTTTTTTTTTTTTTCCATTTGCGGACCCCTACACAATTTTGAATGGAGGTGTGGATCCCTTTGGAAATTCTTAGAAGTAGTCTGTGGGACCCCCTGGGGTCCGCAGACCACAGGTTGAAAACCGCTGCTCTCGTGATTGCTGCCTTTTTAGCTGGCTTTCCAGCATATGCAGATAGGCTGTAGGGAGACATCAGCTACCTTAACGAAGACACTATACTAACTCATGGATTCACAAGGGTAGTTTTATTGCCCAGAGTGACATGTATAGGTTTGTCTGTTTCCTCTGACAAGTGATGGGAGAGTGTAGTAGACAAAATGCCAGTTTGTGGTCCCCAACAGTATCCTGAGCATTCCAAGCTTTTAACTTCATTTTTTCCTGTTGATTTGCTTTCTTTGATACACATTACGTACAGTTACTATTTTCATGGAGAAGAGGGGGTGTGATGAGGAGGTAAGGAATATAATAGAGTATGGGATGATAGGGAGGTAGGCAGTGAAGGTAGGTGGATAGCATGGGCTAAACTTTGCCCCTACTTGTAGCTTGAGCTATAGATTATGTATTAATCTGGTTACTTAAGAATTCTCAGTTATCACTCTGAGATGTGACAGGTTCTTGTCCCAAGATCAGGCCCAGTATTAAAATTACTGTTCAGTTGTGAACCCTGACGTGCACAGTTGCAACACTCGCACTGTAGGAACCCTTCTGTATTTACAGTAGTTTATTAATACATTTAGCAAACATTCTAACCCAGCCAGGTAGATGATGATAACACAGAATGTACATCTGAACATCCATATACTCACACCATCCCTTGTTGAACCTGAAATGTTAGCAATTATCTTCCTCATCACCATCACCTTCCTCCTCCTCATCAGTGGCCATCATTCTGTACAAACCTATTGAAGTTGAACCGAGGGCAGAATTGGGGCTTTCTTATGTCCGTGAGTAATAATAAAGTGGTGGCAACCTTGTATGTGCTGTTAATGGTCTAACTCGGTAGTTTGTTTCAGGTAATTAAGAAACATTGTCCTTAACTGTTCATACACTTTTCGAATTTATAAAAGTGGATCGGAGGGCCCTGTCTTACTTCTGTTGCATGGCGGAGGCCATTCTGCTCTTTCCTGGGCTGTGTTCAATGTAAGTAAATTGATATACACAAATGTTGCGTCTTCCATCTATGAATGACATGAAAATATGAAGCCCTGCTAAGCATGGGATAGATAATTCAGAAAGGTCCTTTTAATCTGCCTGTCTAACTAATGCATTTGGACTCTTTATCACAAGCAGTAAATATATTTTATGAACAAAACGCATCAAAGGCCGAGCATCTGCCAACAATTAGGATGTGGAGCTTCATCAAAGCAACAGCAGTCTCCGTGCCTCTGACCTGTTTTAATCTGAGATGCCAGGATCTTGCTCGTCACAATTAAACCAACCTTTTTTCCCCAGATTGACTTCCCACAGATAACCGGAAGATGATATTGACAACCTTTAATGGAGAGGAATAAGTTTTAAGCTATCTTACTTTTTACCTTGACAGTACTGGTGTGGCAATGATGAAGCCACATTATGACCAGGTTGAATGGTAATTCAGAAAGCCTCAATGCTTGAGAATCACTGAAACCCAACCTGATGTTGTGTCAGTGCGAGCAAGTTTCATGGCTTAACTCTTTCCCTTCCAACAAATTTTTTATATATATAAAGCCTACAGGTTATAAACCCAACCAGTAGCAGCGTGTGTGGCTGTACTTGGGACCCTGACCTTTAACCCAGCCACTCTAATTGTAGACCTTGGGTCCGGTAGGTGGGTCTCTCTCCATCTCTCGATCTAGTCTGTCTAAGGTTTTTCTAGGGCAACTTTTAGTGAAGTATCTGTGAACTTTATAAAAACCTTAAACAGATCAGATAAACGCCAGTCACATGCAGTTTTCACCGTGATATTGGTCCTCGTGCAGTTAGGCCGGTACAAAGTGACACTCTAGACACTATGAATAAAGGCCCACACAACTAATGGGAATGAACAGCTTGCAAGCATTTCAGAGTCCCAAGATGATCGCCATTGAATAAAACAGAGGTTGTACACCTCGCCATGAATCATGTTATAGTCATCAGTTAAGAGGTGGGGTGTTAAAATTCTGAGATGTGGGGTATTGGGTCAAGGTGCCTCACGATGATTTGACAGGCTAGGTTAGTTCTTTTGCATGTATAGGCTGAGTTGACCCACATCTTGTCAACTGAAGTTTGACCTCCAATGTGGGGCAAGTGTTTTTTCAAATCAGCACTTTCTCATTGAATTCTATAAAAACAACGAGGAGTCCGGTGGCACCTTAAAGACTAACAGATTTATTTGGGCATAAGCTTTCGTGGATTAAGGTGCATGGAGTGAAATCCATGCATCTGAAGAAGTGGGGGTTTTTTACCCACAAAAGCTTATGCCCAAATAAATTTGTTAGTCTCTAAGGTGCCACAAGTACTCCTTTTTTTTTTTTTTTTCGTTGTGAATACAGACTAACATGGCTGCTACTCTGAAACCTTCCATCCTTTCTAAAATTCTACTTCTGATCGGTTTAAATACTACTATCTGTTACACCATGATGCACAGCAAATCTGGAATTACCCCACTAAATTCAGTAGAAGAAACTCCAGAGTTATACCATTGTAACTTCTAGTATGACAATTATCTATGCAGTTTCTGGACTTGGCAGTTAAATAGTGTATAGTATGCATGTCATTTGACTTTGCCCTAGACTCACAAAAACTGTACCTGGAGAAAACTACAAAGACAGTTAGTCCATTCCATTCTGCTGTCAGTATCCACTTGTTCCCTGTGTATATTTTTTTTAATGAAAGTTTGCTCATATGTTAACTGTTTAGGATGATGGGGGGGGGATTTAAAAATAATTGGATGGGTAAAGACTAAATAAAATTACTACAAGCAGAATCTACCTATCTTTCTCTCTCTGCTCATTGGTCTAACAACTTATTGGTAAACGTAATGGTCATGGATGTATTTGTTCTTGTCTCACCAAAGCAGTTCTGTTCTGGTAAGTCAAGGTCATGAGAGAACTTCCCTTACTATCACATCATTCAGATTACTCTCTTACATTGTGATTTTTTAGCAGATGACCTCACAAACTGCTTGTTAAATTAATGCTTCGTTTTTTACCATTGGCAAACCGGGGTTTCAAGTTGATTTTTAAATGGTCTAAAATCGTTTCTGGCTGTAGTTGTTCTCTAGATTGTGGCTGCCACAATTATTTTAGAATTGGGAAAAGGAAACCCATTGGAAAAAGTAATCGGAAAGACACCGTTTTAATGGCCAATATCTCATGACATGCTGGGTCAGAAATGAATGTTCTACATCAATGACAGAAAGGGATTCTCATGTATGAATGGTATAAAGCATTCATTTCTAGCCCTACTGGTTATGAGATACTGTCTTTAGTCCCTTGGTCCAGCCGTGTATTTTTCCTGGACTTGAATATAGTAAGTTCTGACACATCGGGTCAGTGTAACTGTCAGTCTGTGCCTATCAAGTGAATGGTGCTCTCTTGCTCTTCCTTCTGTTAAGAGCCTTTTAACAGATTTCACCACTACCACTGGGACACGATTTCAGCGATTGATTTCACAACACACAATCCTATTTTTGAAGCCTTTTATTCAGCACAGAATGCCACTTAATCACCATGGTGCGTGAAATAACTTATGTAAATTTAGATGGCAGGAACAAATAATGAGACGTGATCTTATTGCAGCCTGGTGTTACTTTAAAAAGTATCATAATTTGTTAGTAACCCAGAGGAGGACAAGAACACTCCGTTTGGTATATTTCAGTGTTACTGTAAAATTCCGTTCTTTGAGAGCGAATGGAGTCTATGCTGTAAAGCAGCTGCTATATCTTCTTGCCTACTGTGGAGGCAGTGCTAATTTTGGAACATGTGGGGGCTTGGAAGGGAACGTATCACTTCCATGTGTATAATGGTATTGCTGCACTTCAGTTTTCAGAGGTGTTGTAGAGATTGAAACTTTTATCCTAAGAAATTTGAATACTCATTTGTCTGAGATATGGAATGTAGTGGGGGGTAGGGGGAATATCCTTGGTAATCAGTTGACTGATGGTGAAAAGGGTGGTGCTTTTTTATTTAGTAATTAAAGATCACTTATACTAAAGATTCTTGCTTCAACTTTGATTTCATGGCTACTCTGTGCCCCATGTCCAATCTTGCTTCAGCACGGTCACTGACAAGTGAGTTTCTTTTTGACACACCATCTTGGCTTTTGCTTCTGTTGCATTGATTCATATAATATTGTGATCCCCTTTCTTAAATGAGGTTTGGCAGTTTTCAAACTGTATATCTTTGTCTCCTCTTGCAGTCTGCAATCATTAACAGGATTCAGTGTAGGACTGTGGCTTTAGATCTCAGAAGTCATGGTAAGTAATTAGACTTACAATCAAATTCATGTTCCAGTATATTTCAATTTACTAGTTATTTTTTACATTTGTGTTTAAATTAGATTTAACTGAATTACGCCATCAAAAAACTGAGTTTATAGACTACCTATGAAATAATCAAAGCATTGCTACATTATAACTAAGGTAGGGATGAAAAGAATGTGGCCCATGTAATTCCACAATAAAGCTAGTGTTTGCTGTTATATAGAAATAGAGATTCCACATGCCTGCATATGATGCTCCACCTTGATTCCCCATACGTACTGGGATCAATAGTCCTGGTGAGCCCAACGACCATGTAAAAGATGACTCTGTAGGTAGTCCATTTCGTAGGAACCTAGGGATGATCCGCAGTCTTAAATTGCCAATATATGACCTTTATTTGGGCATAGTTTCCCACCTCTGAACTACAACGTAATAAAGTGCCAAGCATTTTTACGAATCTTTGTAGTTTTAATTATCCAAGATGATGGTGATGAGATGATGCAAACACAGTTGTGATTATCAAGTAAATATATACAGAAAAACTATTATCTGGGCTTATAGTTGCTCCTATTTAAATCCTGAGGATTCTGAAGATTTTTAATCTGCTTTAATAGTGTCTTTTTTGAATTGATGTGTCCTGTTTTTTGCTTTGCAGGTGAAACAAAAGTTAGGAATCCTGAAGATCTGTCCGCAGAAACTATGTCAAAGTATGGAAGTTTACAATCTCTTTAGCCATTTCAGACTTTCCCAAATCCTTATCTTCTCAATTCTTTGTTCTTTCATTCTTATCAACTTTTTACCCACCTTCAGTTTTCCTTCTATGAAGACATCATACATGCCAGTCATGTAAGGGGGCACTAGAACTTAAGCTGAGTTCCACTTTTCAGTGTAGTTGAAGTTGGTGTATCTTAGGTCGACTTACCTGGCTGTGAAGATGGCGGCGAGTCGACCGCTGCCGCTCCCCCGTCAACTCCGCTTCCGCCTCTTGCGAGCTGGAGTTCCGGAGTCGACGGGGAGCGTGTTCGGGGATCGATTTATCGTGTCTCGTCTAGACGCGATTGATCGATCACTATCTGGCAGGTACTGAAGACCTGCCCTTAGTTCATCATAACTTTCCTTCCTGTTTGGAAAGTTTGAGCAACATCAGGTTAGGCGCAAGTTGAAATCATAACTCCAACAGTCGAAGCTAGACATTTCAGACCTGATTTGTTCTGTAGATCTCAGTGAAAGGTAAATCTGGTGAGGAAATTCCCCTTTGTGATTTAAAAGTTATGAACATTTAAAGTTTGTAATGCTGTGGACCCACATCAGAATTTTTCTCCCCTTTTTAGTCTTTTTTTTTTTTTTAAAGAACTCCCTCAGTTAAAAGCCATCTGCAATTAAGCTTTTAAAAAAATTCTCCAACTCTTTCCATAAAAAAATTAATGTAACATCAAAGCTAACTGCTGAATTTGAGTTTTTACTGCAATGTTCACTCAGCCACTTTTGTTCACATGTAGTGTGGTATTCTTTACATTTTTCTCTGTTAAATGCAAATTTTGATGGAGAGCTATTTGTTACTGTACTATCATGTTCTGCACTGTGAGAGATTTAACGCTGCAGGAATGCACTGATCTTCTGGAATGTCATGGTTTTTTGGGGGGGGGGGAATAATTTAATTTTTCATCCTAAATGTGGCATTTACACTATTTCTTAGTATTTGATGTTTGTAAAGACAGAAGTGAGCGTGATTTCTCCACTTGCACAGCAGCTCCCACACCAATCTTACTCCCCTGTGACTGTCTCCATCCCCAGCTCCACCTTCTCCACTGCACTTCAGCCTGTGCTTCCCACTCCCATGATTGTCTGTTCTAAGCCCTAGCCCCCAGCCTTGACCTTCCTGTGGACTCATTTTGTTGCTTTTAAATGCCTCTGAGAAAAGAACAGCAAGCATATAGACTTCCTTCATTCCACCCTTGCTTCTCCTGATCTTCTGTTTTGCCTCCAACCCTGTCTTCTCAACTTTCCTCTCTGCCCCAATAGCTTTACCAATTTTGTCAGGAAGAGACAGTTATTCATATTCTCCTTTATTCATTGTTCCTGGAAGAGGTCACAATACACACGATTAGGGTCAGATGGAAAGCTGGTGTAAATGGGTGTAGTTCCACTGAAGCCACACTGATTTACACCAGCTCAGGGTCTGGTTCTTGTATTACTCTACTCATTGTAGTATCTGGGTGCACCGTGCAGGGCATAAATACAGGTAAACCCCCTTTCCATTTTTATTTCAGCCTGTATTTCAAATAACACTCTTATCCATCCTGATGTGGGTCAGCTTTCTTTCCCTTGAAAGATTCCTTTTCTATACCTATCCTTCACCCTTTGGTGAAGGTGAAGTGTGACTCATGCCCAGTTTGGAACCACTACATCGAGAAAACATGTCCTGCACAGAATGAGACTTTCAGTCATGGTGAGAGCTGCTTAATCAAATTGCGGTGACCTGCTTCTGAATGCAAACCCTTCTTTTGTGACAAGCTGTGAGAGAAGCAATTACCTTCCACTAGAAATACTATATAATGCCCACATTTAGTGCAGAGAGATTCTCCTGAAGGTTATAGTCCTTCATACTAACAGACCTGCTTGGTTTGTTCCAGGGAGGCCATCTGTGAAATAGATTTTGACTTACTGTGTACCTTATTGCTGTTTCTCACATCCTGTCAGCTCCTGATGTGCGTGTTGGTGTCCTGAGGAGCTGCCATATGCAATGATCGTTTTTCAGATCTCGAGCAGCTCTAATATGGGACCAAACAAATAGGCAGCCTTTCATTTTAAACCTTCCTACCCTCCTAATGATAGATTTGAAAGCTATTTCCAATTTGTCTTTAAACTGGAGTTTTAAACTGTCACTAACTTTTCAGATTTTTAAATCCTCCTGCATTTTCAAAGGAAATAGTTAACAAAAAAAAAATCAGATATTTAAGTAATTTTTTTTTACCTGTTAATACCTTAAATTATTCTTCATCACTGATGCTATATGTGCTTGCTTTTCTAGTCTCTCGGCTTGAACAGAGAAAACAAGCTAGTCAGACTTGCTTTGTGACCGTTATGCACTAGGCACAATGCTCTTTGTGTTCCTAACACATAAGAACATAAGAATGGCCATACTGGGTCGGACCAAAGGTCCATCTAGTCCAGTATCCTGTCTTCCCCCTGTGCCCCAAAGGAAATGAACAGAACAGATAATTATCATCCCCTGTCACCCATTCCCAATACATATGGTGAATTCATAGATATTTAGGTCAGAAGGGACCATTATGATCATCTAGTCTGACCTCCTGCACAACGCAGGCCACAGAATTTCACCCACCACTCCTACAAAAAAAACCTCACACCTATATCTGTGCTATTGAAGTCCTCAAATCGTAGTTTAAAGACTTCAAGGAGCAGAGAATCCTCCAGCAAGTGACCTGTGCCCCATGCTACAGAGGAAGGCGAAAAACCTCCAGGGCCTCTTCCAATCTGCCCTGGAGGAAAATTCCTTCCCGACCCCAAATATGGCAGTCAGTTAAACCCTGAGCATATGGGCAAGATTCATCAGCCAGATACCCAGGAAAGAATTTTCTGTAGTAACTCGGATCTCGCCCCATCTAATAGCCTATCACAGGCCACTGGGCCTATTTATGAATATTTAATTACCAAAACTATGTTATCCCATCATACCATCTCCTCCATAAACTTATCGAGTTTAATCTTAAAGCCAGATAGATCTTTTGCCCCCACTGCTTCCCTTGGAAGGCTATTCCAAAACTTCACTCCTCTGATGCTTAAAAACCTTCGTCTAATTTCTAGTCTAAATTTCCTAGTGGCCAGTTTATATCCATTTGTTCTTGTGTCCACATTGGTACTGAGCTTAAATAATTTCTCTCCCTCTCCGGTATTTATCCCTCTGATATATTTATAGAGAGCAATCATATCTCCCCTCAACCTTCTTTTAGTTAGGCTAAACAAGCCAAGCTCCCTGAGTCTCCTTTCATAAGACAAGTTTTCCATTCCTCGGATCATCCTAGTAGCCCTTCTCTGTACCTGTTCCAGTTTGAATTCATCCTTCTTAAACATGGAAGACCAGAACTGCACACAGTATTCCGGGTGAGGTCTCACCAGTGCCTTGTATAACGGTACTAAAACCTCCTTATCCCTACTGGAAATACCTCTCCTGATGCATGCCAAGACCGCATTAGCTTTTTTCACAGCCATATCACATTGGCGGCTCATAGTCATCCTGTGATCAGCCAATACTCCAAGGTCCTTTTCCTCCTCCGTTACTTCTAATAGATGCGTCCCTAGCTTATAACTAAAATTCTTGTTATTAATCCCTAAATGCATGACCTTACACTTCTCACTATTAAATTTCATCCTATTACTATTACTCCAGTTTACAAGGTCATCCAGATCCTTCTGTAGGGTATCCCTGTCCTTCTCTAAATTGGCAGTACCTCCCAAGTTTGTATCGTCTGCAAACTTTATTAGCACACTCCCACTTTTTGTGCCAAGGTCAGTAATAAAAAGATTGGTCCCAAAACCGATCCTTGAGGAACTTCACTGGTAACCTCCCTCCAACCTGACAGTTCACCTTTCAGTAGGACCCGTTGTAGTCTCCCCTTTAACCAATTCCTTATCCACCTTTCAATTTTCCTATTGATCCCCATCTTATCCAATTTAACTAATAATTCCCCATGTGGCACGGTATCAAATGCCTTACTAAAATCTAGGTAAATTAGATCCACTGCATTTCCTTTGTCTAAAAAATCTGTTACTTTCTCAAAGAAGGAGATCAGGTTGGTTTGGCACGATCTACCTTTTGTAAAACCATGTTGTATTTTGTCCCATTTACCATTGACTTCAGTGTCCTTAACTACCTTCTCCTTCAAAATTTTTGTTACAGCCAAGAAAGCCTGTATGCATTTTTTTATTTGTGTCCCTTAAACTATTTACTATACTCTTTCCAAAAGGTGCTCAGATACTTCAGTGACAAGTGTTATAAGAACCTGAATATAACAATATGCTTGGTACTTTGGCTTCATACTGGTTCATAGGGTCCCTGCCCCAAAGAGCTTATCTTCCACAGAGAGAGAGAGAACACGTTTTGCTTCTGTTCTATATGCCCAACCTCTTGCAATCCTGGTGGCTGGTGTTTGTTTAGGTTATCAATGATTAGGGCTGAGAAAGCAGGAGAATTGATTAGTTTCCTCACCTCGCCTGTAGTTTGTTTTGTGCTCCACAGACCTGGGGCGGGGTGGTCTAGTCTCCCACTTTAGACAGCATCTCCTGTTAACAGAAATGGGAATTACATCCTTATATCCCTAATTCAGGAAAGCACTTGTTTAATGTTAAGCGTGTGCTTTGAGGGCTTTCATGAATCCCTAGCCATTGATAAGAGACTAGACTTCCATATCTATTACCATTGGGGCAGATGATCTAACTTAAAAGGCAAATGTGCAAAGAAACTCCGTATTAGGGAAGAGTAGGAAATAAAAGCAGAGGGTTCAGCGTAAGTTTCTCATATTGAATTTTTCAATTCCCCTGCTGGTGTGTTTTTACAAATCTGCTTCAGAAACACATTGGGAAAGAATGCCAACCTTCTGTCTCTCTTCCTTTGCCAGAGATGTTGGAAACGTGGTTGAAGCTATGTACGGGGACCTCCCACCTCCAATCATGCTGATTGGGCACAGTATGGGTGGGGCTATTGCAGTGCACACAGCAGCATCCAATTTGGTACCCAGTTTATTGGGTCTTTGCATGATTGATGTCGTGGAAGGTAAGTTGTTGTTGTTTTTGTTATCTCCTTGGACAGTATCATCTGTTATGTTCTGTCTTCCTCTCTCCTTCCCTATTAACTTTGTTGGGCCTGGGAGGTCTTTCTCAGTTGTGTTAACCGTATGAAGCTGTTCTCTTCTCTTATGCCAGCTATTGTATGGTATAGTTAGCATCACCTTAGCCTTTTGTTTTGGAATTTTCCATTTGATTTTGTTTATCATGATTGCTGTGCACCACCCATTCTTATAACGAGGACCACGATTGCTGGGGAGTGTCTTACTGAACCATATAGTGTCACCACTGCTCTCTGCCTAAAATATCAGACCTGTTCACCCTCTAATGGCAGCAGTGTACAAAACTATACAAGCCCTGATACTGTTACAGCTACCGGAGGTTTTGCTGATAGATTTATTGTAATGATAGAATACCTGTAAGAGCTGTTAACGTGGATGCCGGAAGCAAAGAACTTAGAGTTGCAGACCTGGAAACCAGTTTTTTTGGAAAAACTGTGTGAAAGCTGGTTTGGAGCAGCTGTGTATAGTTCATGACTATAACTCTGTTAATCAACTTAACTTATATCATGAAATTTGCCTCAGTTCTCTCCTTCACATAGTTCACACTGTCATATGCCAAGACCTTTGAGAACTGTTGCAAGGATGTTGTCAGATGTTGGGTTCATTTAAGTCAAAACGTTTGTTTTTAGGCACAGCCATGGACGCGTTGAACAGCATGCAGAATTTCTTACGGGGTCGTCCCAAAACGTTCAAGTCAATTGAGAATGCAATTGAGTGGAGGTAATGTGCAAGTTTGTATACTCTTCAAAAATCTTCATTGTACTGTTAATTCTGCAATTGATCTTGGAAGAAGGATGGTCTTGTGGTTAAGGCATTGGATTGGCGCACCAGAGGCCTGAGTTCTGTTTCTGACTACCAATGCAATTCTCCCATCTTCAGAGTGGGCATTATACTTCACTGCCCTGCAAGGGCATTGTGAAGATAGTCATTAATGTTTATGAGATGCTTGATCACAGTGATGTGAGAGCCATATAAACATCTCGATAATCATAGCATGCTGGGAACTCCAGTGTTTGTATGCCACATCTCTGTATTCGAGATGAGTGCTCACAGGGTGAACTTGGGAGTGCTCCTATTATTACTGGACCTATTAAATATTGAATGATAGTAGATTAACGTATGCAATTGACCCTTGATGTTTGACCATTTTGATTCCCCCTTTTCCCTTTTTTTTTTTCTAGTTTAAAAAGTGGACAGATAAGAAATCTCGAATCAGCCAGAGTTTCTATGGTTGGCCAAATCAAACAGTAGGTTTTGTTTTCTAAAACCCTCTTAAATGTTTTAAGATCCCAAATCGGTAACAGAGCATAAGTGTACTTTAAAAAAAAATCAAATCCATCTTCTAGCAGATATCCGGTCCTCCTTGAACTTACCTGCCAAGGCTGACCACAGAGGGTCAGGAAAGTAGTACTAAACCATTTACAACCATCCACGTTCCTATGGTTAGGAATGTCAGTCAAAATTTCACTAGGGTAGAATGTAATTACCCATCAAGGATACTTTTTTTACTGTGCAAAAGCCATTTGTACATGCAAATGATAGAGCGCAAAACAATGGGTGTGCAATGGCCCATGCAAAGATTTGCTCACACCAGTAGACTAGCTGGATGTGCCTTCAGAAATTTGGCCCCTAAATTCCTCCTGACAATTCAACTGAATATGGTATTTTTCACTTGCTGTCCTCCTGCTGCTGTGCATTGTTAAATAACTGTCCATTACACTCCAAAGGTGGTGGAGTTGAGTGGTGATGAAAGTAATCTGTGTATTGCACTGTAATCCTATACAACACATGATGCTTGCCAGCAGCATCAGGTGTTTCTATTGTTTATATTCCAGTATTGTCATAAAAAAAACTAATTTTGCTCATTTGACCTGGACACTTCCTTTCTTTCTCCTTGATGTGGTAGAGCCTCAGATCAGCCAGTCTCTCTGAGAAAGCCAATTCTATCCTTTAGGTGCAGGTGGTCTCTCCTAGAATCGTTAAGATGTTGCTTTTCACAATGGAAAAGGAATCAATTTCCAGTCCTATTTTACCAGGTGTGAAGATGCTGCTAGTCCTGAGGTCCCTAAAGCTATAGTAGAAGGGATTATTGAGGAGGAGGAGGAGGAAGAGGAAGAAGACTATGAAGGAAGAGGATCTGTTAACAAAAGGAAGAAGGAAGATGATACAGAGGTGGGGAGTTTTCACTGTGTTCTGCTGGAACTAATGTCTTCACTAGCCTCTTCCTCTCTAGGGTATCTGGCGATCTATAGGGAGCAAGAAGGCAACCATGCAGCCAGCAAAGGAGATGCTTCCATGGAGCTAGGTGCCTATGGGACATGTAAAAGTTCTCCAAAGAAGGAGCAGTGAGCAATTGTTCAGCTCTCATTCAGGGCCTCAGTGTAAACAGGAGTAACTCCTGCGACCTCATTGCTTGCTCCAGGTCTGAGTTTGGGCCTTGGTCTCGGACTGCTGGCTACATTGTGAGTTACCACTTGAAAGTGTTTCTAGATGTTCATGAACGTGGCCATTGTACATGGTCTAGAAAGGAACTACTTTCTTGTCCGGTAAGTCACTATGTGCTGGGTCCTGACTCTATTTCATCATATTATAAAGGCTCATCGGTTTCTGCTGCGTGGTGTAGACCACGTGACCTAACAGTCTTATTCCCACATGTAAAGCTATTCGTGCATGGTGCTGCAAAACTGTGTCTTGCCCAGGCTTCATGGAAGAAAAGGTCCAGGTGTCTTTCTGCGTGAATTTTTAGTTCCGGTGAAAGAGGGCAGATTGACAGTCTGGAAATGGAAGGCCTCTCTTGCTCAACGCCCCAGGTACAGCATGTGCAGCCCCGTTAACTTACTGTGACATGGAGCGAGCACGTTCAGGGTTAAGAGGGTGATCCGGTCTTTGTGAGCAAGGTTGCCTAGTTAGGGCAACACATGGGGGGCAAACTGACGTTAGTCGCATCCGCATTTGACTCTGTGCTTTTACTTTGTCTTCCAAGTGGCGCTTTGCTGAGGTTCATTCTACGCTCGTTTCAGTTGAATACTAATGCTGAGCTCTTTGTCTCCCCTGTAGACGAAGAAAGAACATCTGTATACATGGCGAATCGAACTGTCGAAAACCGAAAAGTACTGGGAGGGGTGGTTCAGGGGCTTATCGAACCTCTTCCTCAGTTGTTCTACTCCAAAGCTGCTGCTTTTAGCGGGTAGGTGTTTCCTTTTTCTCCTTAGTTCGAGCTGTCATTCACTTTGATTACATTCAGCCTGTGTTTTAGAGGAGGGAAGGGAAAAACTGTGGCTAAGATACTGGTCTGGATTCTATCCTGGCCCTTCTATGTACTTTGAGAGACTGGGCAAGTCATTTTAGTCTCTCTGCAACATGCACATGGGAATTGTGGGATTAGATATGCGTATTGTGATACTATGCCTCAGCTGTCTGGCAGGTGTTGCAGTTGTAGAATTGAGCTAATGTTCTGCTAGGAACAGGATTGAGACCCAAGCCAACCCACGGGAGTAATCACTTAATTACTGCAGTCCTGGGCTGGATTTGAACTCGTGACCTGAAGGTGAAAGGATCAGTATTCCAAAACCAATCCCTATCACCCTCCAGTCCCCTGTGATAGGGAACACTGAGTCTCCCATAGTTGAGTGCCATTTAAAGATGTCTGGGAAGATGGATGGATGAATGTTCCTTCAAGTTTTTGACAGATCCTCTCCTGTCGCTGTATGCTCCTAATGTGCAGCAGGGAAACAGTCTAGTGAGTGTCGAGATGCTGTTTCTATTCCATTTTTTCACACCAAACATCTTTTGCAAAGTCTTAGCAGGACCTGACTAGACGCTCTCTCCCTGGCTTCTCCCCAACACATCCGTTTGCTTTATTCCAGGTGTTGACAGGCTGGATAAAGATCTAACAATTGGACAGATGCAAGGTAAATATTTAATACTGCTAGCTATAATGCTCTTTCAGGGGATAGTTTATGTTGCAGAGAGTGAAAGAGAGCTGGAGAAGAAGGCTGAAATGGTCCTGGCCAGGGCAATCTGTATTGAGACAAACCAGCATTAAAGAATGTAGTTAATCCCCAGAGTAACAGTGTGATCCCTTGTCTATGATTCTCTCTAATGGAAGCTAGAGGAGTTATTAGATCTTGCCAATCACCCTGGTGCTGATGCAGTGCTGTGATATTGCTTTTGTTCAGTCTGGTATTAAATATTCAAGTGATGGGGCTTTGTCATGTCTTGTGGGGATCATTCTGTGATTTTCAGTTTTGCCATTAGGAAGCTTTTCCTGATTTTCAGTCTGTTTTCTTTTAATTCCATCCCATTGTGCCTAATTGCACCACCTGGTGCCACCTGAAACAATCTCTCTTTCTGGTGCTGGCAGACTTCTACTAATGCTTGAGAGACATGGCAGGGGAGGTAATATCTTTTACTGGACCAGCTTCCGAGCTTATGACCTGAAGAAGAGTTCTGTGTAAGCACGAAAGCTTGTCTCTCTCCAACAGAAGTTGGTCCAATAAACAATATTCCCTCACCCCTTGTCTGTATAATGTAGCCGTGCTGGTCCCAGGACAACAACCACCTCTAATAATGCTTGACAGTTACATTAGCATCTTTCCCCGTCCAATCCCCATCACTGTTTTCTTTGGAAATTGGATATTGGAAGGGAAAATGGATGATTGGATAAAGGTCCTGGTGTGGTAGGTTTGACAGCTACATTCATGTCACAAAGATGGGATAGCATTTAATACAAAGCTCTTGGGAATTAAGGATTAAGAAGATAATGAGTGAACATGGTTGTAGTTAATTCAGAGCTCCTGCACAAGTAAGAAGGCAAGTTTTTGCCTCCTGCAGAAGCTGTGTGTTCTCCATATGCTGCTGTTTGACATCTGGAGTCAAACATAGCTTCTTGAGTCCTCATCTGCTAGATACGACAGTGGGGCTAACTTGTAAAGAGTTTGAGATCTCTAGTAGAAATGCCCATAAAAGCGCAGAATATTTTTGCACCTTAAGTTCGGTCCCTGCCTTTAGCCTTTATAGGGGTTGGCTTCTGCGGTTGCATGTAACACATGCCTGAGTCATTGCCAGGGAGGGATACGTTCACTCTAAAAGTAGCTGCAATGACTGTTTGGTCTGCAGGAAAGTTCCAGATGCAAGTCCTCCCTCAGTGTGGCCATGCAGTCCACGAAGATGCTCCAGACAAGGTGAGCCGCAAAGCTTTGGTAGCAGTCCGTTTACGAGTTACATGCAAAATGGGTCCATCGCTAATACAAAACCGAGGGCAAACCTCATAGGCCTTACGTGCACCACACCTATAAGGAGACCTGGTTACTGATGGAGCAGATGGGACTAAATCATATCCGTGAAGCTGCCTTGAGAGCCTGACTGGCCAAGACTTTAGTCTGCTTGTGGGGAGACAGGTCCCACCTGCGTTACAGCTTTACCTGTGTCGAGGGCCAATGGTGGTGTATAACTGACTCAATGATACAGTACTTAAAATGCAGCATGGGATTTTCCATCCTTAACTTCTCTTGGGTTACCTCAGCTTTTCCCTTCCCCCTCCAGTCTTCAGTGCAGGTGGCTGCTTTCGTAGAGGGATAATGTCTTATTAAAACTAAGTAGTTTAAAATTTAGAAAACGTCGTATAAACATTATTGAAGCAGTTTATGTACTGACAAACAGTGACACTTTAGTATTTCACTCACGCTAGTGTGCCAGTAAATAGAATGGTGGAGCACGTCTGGAAATGAACGTCGGAGTTCTTATCTCGGCTCTACTATTGACTGTTTGTGTGGCTTTGAGTCACTTAACCACTCTGTGCCTCACCCTTGTAAAATGGGGATATTTTTACCTATCTTCATGAGATGTTTGGAAGAAAAGTTATTTGTAAAGCGTGATACAAGTAATTTGCTGCTCTGAGCTAATCCTTAAAGGGACACCAACTTAAATCACAATTGTCTTTTTTTACCTACTATAGTACATGCCTAAATTACTGTAATTGAAGAAGATGGTGAAAAAAACATTTTTTTTTTCAGTTGTGCACTTGATGCATGGTCGGTTTCACTGGGTCCTTGGTAGTATATAGACATTTATCCCCTTTGTGAGATGTTTCATACAGAGGTGGGAGGGTGGGGGAACAGTTTAAAATAATGGGAGGAAGATGTAGTACTTTGAACTACTTTAAATTTTGAAACTGACCAGGCTTCAAGTTGACTGTGTCCCTTTAAACTCTGATTCCTTCCCCCCTACCTCCCTTCAGGTTGCTGAAGCTGTTGCAACTTTCTTGATCCGTCACCGGTTTACAGAACCAATTGGTGGATTTCAGTGGTAAGGATCTCTGAGTCCTCGGGCTGCATGATTCTCTTCCTGACCCCTGCGGGAAGCCTTGCATTCCTTGTGTGCATCCAGGGTGGGGAGAGATGAGTATAACAAGTGGTTGGGTGGAAAGGGAAGTAAGGATCAACTTGGAGCTTTAATGTAACATTAAAAGCAGCATGTCAGTATGCAGCCTAGATCACAGGCAGTATTGTGTTTCATGTTCAGTGTGTAAAGCTGTCACCGTCTCTAAACGTCTCATATTTGAACTTACTAATTGTGATAATAAAACACTCAGACTTGGAGGGAGGAGAAGATGTGGGCCTGACCTAGCTGATTTATTTCTTTGTGGTGGAAATCCTTATCCCTGATGGGGCAAAACTAGCAATTGCATTGAATTTTGTTAAACAGACCCAGTCACTGTAAATAGTTTAGGACCCAAGAATGACCTGCATAATGTGGTGGAGAAGATCTTCCAATTTCTAAGAATCACTATGGCTGTTCTTGTAATCTGGATCTCTGTCATGGAAAAATGCAATTTCCAGCATGTTTCCTCCTGCTAAGAAACATTAGCAAGAACATACATTTAAAGCTTAAAGCTGCATACTTTGCTTCTCAAATCTCACGGCTGTGTCACCCACAATATCTAAAGTAGTCTCCCATCATAATGAACTTCAGGAGCCAAAGCTCCTCTCCTGGCAGTGCGGTTGATGAGCCGAGATAGCGTAGAAGAAACACTGAAGGTGAATGAACTCTGCAGGCTGCTGCATGTTGACTCCCAGTATCTCCTAATCATATTTACAACCGGCAATACTGACCTGTTGGGAGGGGGCATTGAGCTGCGGAAGGGACAACATTCAGACGAGGTGGGAAACAGTGTTGTTCTGGCCACCTGTCATTACAGATCTGTAAGAAAAGGCAGGTTAACCCACATGCCATGGGCAATAATTCCTCTGTCCCAAAATTCCTCCTGAAGATTTAATGAAGAAAAACTTTGGTTCAGAGTTACGAGGCCACAAAAGTTATCATGTTCCATCCCTGAAGTGACTGTGTTTTTAGGGGAAGTGGTATCGATGAGCGGGTGAACCCATCCCATGCTCTTCAGGGTGAAAGGCGGGAGGAGTGTAGAACGATTAACAATATGAATCGGAAGCCTGAGGAAAGGGTACAGGGTGTTGGGTATGTTTTAAAGCAGTGGAAGCGGGAGAAGTTGCCAGGGCAACATTAGGCTGCGTCTAAGCCTGTAGCAGGCTTTGGCAAGTTATTGCTGAGGATTATAAGGCATTAGCTTGCTGATGCTGCTATCCTGGTTGTACTTGACAGCAGCTTCAAGAGAGGTGCATCTGAGGGATGGGCAGTTTGTTATACCTACTGCAGGCTGCTGCTTTAAGCCATAGAGAGCAGGATAAAACTAGTAATAGTGAGAGCTGTGTATCTATAATTGCTATTCTACCTGCATGCACCTAACGGGGATATTGCCCATGAAGACTTAACCTACATTTTAGATCCTTTAAGTTTCAGCTTCATTAGCATTAGCGAGTTACCTTGGGTGGTGTGGATTTGAATTTTACGGAGGATCATTGAGATTTAATGTACGGTGATATTCTTCTCTCCCCTGCCAGTGTGTTTCCTGCTTGTTAATATCCTGATGTTCTCCAGCACTGATTTCCATTGTAAATAAACTGCACCAGAGGCCACTGTGATGTATCCATATCCTTCTCATCTATCCAGTTCAGCAATGACAAGAAATTGGCAGGAGATCAGTCCTGTAGAGCTGGTTTCTAGGAATTTCCTTGCCGGCAGACAGCTCGTATCGGAGTCCTTGTGAAGCTCGTCGGTCTCTTGGACATGGGCTCCTCTCCGCTGCCGCAAGGAAAGACAACCTGAAACCCCGAGTAGTAGAACATCTCTCTTATCTCTGCGAATCCTCAGGCTTTGTTGGACACAATCACTAAGGGACTTCAGGCAGATCGGATTCCCCAAGGGGCATTGCAGCAAATCTGAAGGCGTCAGGATTTCTTCGTGGAACTATATGGGAAAGGCCCCACAAGAGCTTTTGCTTTTTTTTTTTTTTTTTTAAGCCTGAGGAACCGGCTTCTTTTGAGTTTTTCGTCTCCCCAGGGCCGGCTGCATGATTTTTAGGGCCTGTAAATTGTGGGGGAGAGAACCGACTGCACTATGAATTACCTTCCCTTCCAGTTCCACTTAGGGCAGGACTGGGAAAATGGGACCATGAGCTCCTGTGCGGGGTCCTGCTGCTTCCTTGACAAGTTCACTCCTGGGTCTCCGGCCTCAGCACTTCACTCTATGGCAGGCACTCAGTGGCCTGGGGCTCTACATTTAAAGGGGAAACCACAATATCACCAGTAACATCATGATCTGTCAGAAACAGGCCAGTGGCCATTCTCTGCTTGTGGAGTTTCTGCCTACCTGGTTCTGCACCTCTTGTCACCGCACACAAGTGAGTGGAGATTGGCACCTCAGGCAGTTTTTAGGAGGCAAGTAGACAGACCGGGCAGTGGATGGAATGCTGAGCTAGCCAGCAGTAGGTAGAGATAGGGACTTGGGGGGAAATCCCACCAGCAGTCTGACCCTGGCCTAAGCAGTTGCTTGCCATGCTTGCCATGTGAGGCCCTGCTCAGTGTATTGTGGGAAAGTCACTGTTCTGTATTCGATGTTTAGCACTGATCATGTTCAGGTCTTTTATTAATGCAGTTACTATGAGAGAGAGTTTCTTCAGGGCACAGGCCAGCCCGGGATAATTTGTTAGATCCTTTTCACCTCCTATGAAATCCCCCACGGGAGCAATAGAACAGTTGCACTTGGAGCTATTTGCAACAATATCCTGATGTTCTTGAACTAATAAAAATGAGGCTTTATTCTTTGACCGTTTCATGCCAAGTGATGATGTGACTCTGCTAGTTGAAGCCTAGCTCTCTTACTCGCCTGGTCTTGGAGATGTAATGGTGGCGGGTGTATCCTATGACAGTCCTAGTAAATCCTTTACGTTTGTGCTGTGCTGGTAGGGATGAGGGGGAAATGGCACAAATAGCAGGTAAAGTCCTATCAAGCATAATGTTTACCATGAGGGAGAACTATTGTTCTCTTCTATCTGATTCACACACACACTAAGGGCTTGTCTACACTACCCACCGGATTGGCGGACTGCGATCGATCCAGCGAGGGTCGATTTATCGCATCTAGTCTAGACGTGATAAATCGACGGCTGAGCACTCTCCCGTTGACTCTGGTACTCTACCAGAACGAAAAGTGCAAGCGGAGTTGATGGGAGAGCGTCAGCCATCGACTTACCGCAGTGAAGACACCGCAGGAAGTAGATTTAAGTACGTCGACTTCAGTGACATTATTCCCGTAGCTGAAGTTGTGTATCTTAGATCGACCCCGCGCGGTTGTGTAGACAAGCCCTCAGTGGTGGACTTTTCAGCTGTGGCCTGGCTGCATATTTCACCCCCACCACCACCAGAGTCTGAAACCGCTGGATTAGAAATGAGAATTTGCAATTCCAGGTGAGTTCTGTGTCCAATGCGACACTTAGGCAACTGATGCTGAGGTACTAAACAAGCGACTTTTGGCTCCTTGTATAGCCCTCCCTATCAGTCACAACCTGGCATTGCTTCACCATGTGATTCTGCTCATTGACCAATACGGACCCTGGACTAAGTCCATTCCAGTTTGTCTGCTGATTAGTTTCATGGCTTCCGATAATTGAAAAGTCAGTTTATAATTGGAAAACCCAACAAAAAACTCCACTTCCCCCACTGCATATCTTGGCAGTCTTGCAAGGTTCTTGACCCTTTTCAGATTACTCTGGTTGTCAAACTGTTTGTAGGGGCGGGAACCAAAGCAGTGGTAATGCAGCGTTAACCAAGGCCCTCGTTTAATTTCAAGCATGTGAATAGTCTACTTAGTCAAATTCTGTCATGTGCTTAAATCTCTTGTGGGTTACTACATTAGATAACGCCCCATGTTCACCTCTTCTGCTGTCCTCTCCCTTTCTAGAGAAGGGAACTGGTTTATCAGATGGCCCCACAAAGAGTAAAATACCTTCTATTTCAGCCTTTGCTATCACACCACAAGGGGGGTGAGGGGCTACATTTCCATGCACTGTGCCATTGGCTCCCTGGAAATGTTTTTTGGTTGTTACACCTTGGCAACTATGACCTTGTTTTATGAAAAATAAATATTTCACAACCTCTTCTGGTGTGGCTATGTTTTACGCCAAGCTCTCCAAGTCCTGGCTTGTAGCAGAGAATGGATGTTCTTTGCAAGGATCCAACTAGCTTTAGGTTTGTGGAAAGCAGATTCAAAGGGCAGGGGAGAAAATTGTGTGCAGGGGTGACTACTTTGGTTGAACTACATCAACCTTTGTGAGTCTAACACACCTGCAGCATTTTCTTAGTGACATTTTTAATGCCCCTGTGTAAAAGGAAAACATTACAGGGGAGGAAGGGGACATTAATGAAAAGGGGTACCATTTCTATATTGCATCCTTAACTATTTAGAGATCTCTCTTGCCTCTGTTCAGGTTGCATTAGATTAAGGATCAGTGGAGCCTTTAACCATGGAAAAAATCTTGTCTTAACTAACACAAGACACAATTTGTTTATTTGAGAGTCTGGTTTATTTAAGGTTGGGGGTTTTTTAAATCGGACTTAATGCAGGAGTAGTCTTGCTAAAAGCCCAGGGTTATCTGAACCAAATATAGGAGCCTTGAGGACCACAGAAGGTTTGTTTGTTAAAAACCCAAACCTCTCTGGTATTCCAGGAATGTGCAGCCCTGCTTTGTTCCTGGGAATAGAGCTGCATGCTGCTCATTTACACATACTTCTATCTTAATGGAAGTTACACTAGTCTGGTGTTAGGGAACACTGTAGTCTGGAGGAGTGTGCAGCTGAAAATCAAAGGGCTGTCTCTTTACATTAACACGCTTGCTGACTTGGGCTGTTGTCTGGAGCTGGATTTTCTTTTAAGGCTTGTCTTTTTTCCTTTTCCTCTCAACCTGGCCTTGTCTCACACACTTTCAAAACCGCAGTGGGCTGGAGATTAGACCAAAGCCAACTAAATATTTTGTCCACCCTAAATGGAAGCAACTGTTCTGAATAATAAGACCCCTCCAGTAAAAATCCCAAACCCTACAGCATTACATTAACGTTGTGACCTGTCATTAGAATTGAGGAGTAGAATCCCTGAAGCTAGTCGTGTTTATCGGAATACACCAGCTGGGTAAAAAACAGGGGAATAAGTGGATAGCTCAGTGGTGGGAGCACAGACCCTACTCAATTGCCCAATGGAGCCAATAGTAGTGGTGACAAAGTTCCTGTCTGCTGGCTGTGAAACGTTTGTGGTCTTGCACCTGTTCTTAAAAAACTTCTCTGAATCACATAGCAAGTTGGCTCCCTTGTTGATAATGTGTCAGTACTGGGCTAAGACTTGAACTGGGGCATTGCAGAATGACCTACCCTCTTGCCTCCTAAAGATCGCTCAAGGGCAGGGGGGAGACTTGCGCTTGCATTACTCCATATGCCATATCCATTCGGGGACTAGATAGCTTCCGTCTCCAGGCCAGCCAGATGATTGTGCTGTGCTCGGCAGAAATTCAGTACAAACCTACGTTGTGACTTGGTACTTTCTGGTTCAATGAAGACGTTCTGGGAATGCATCATCCTGTGACATCACAACGGCTGTGGCTTGGATGAGTTGCAGTGGGACAGTGGTGTTTGTGATCTCACGTTCAGGGCTATCGTCACTGAACCAGGGAAGTTCTGTGTGGATTTCACAGAGCAGGTGCATGGTGGAAAAGGAAGTAACAAGTGTTTGCGCTGACTAGTGGGGCCATCCAGCACAGAGAGCTTCGCTCTGCTCCATTGCCACTTTTAGGTTCACTTAAAAATAGTGTAAAGCTCCAGAGGCCAGATTTTCACGAATGTTCAGCATCCAGCTGCAAACACTGTTCTCAGTGGGAACTGAGCCCCTGAAAATCTGGCTGTAGATCCTCACATAAGGCCGAAATAAATCTCACTTCACAAACCTACCATGAGTGCGTTAGGTACGGTACTGCCCCTTTAAATGATTTTTTTGGCCCTGGTATAGTCCCAAAGCCTGGTGCCCTGCTGATGAGCAGCAATTGCCAGTTTGTGCTGCCCGTTGTCCCTCGACTGTGCATACGTCTGCCTCTTTCTCCTGGCTGTATGGTCTGCCCTGGTCTGGTTTGTTCATTGTTCCTCCGGATGGTTTACACTGCACGTCTAGCACCCAGGCCTGCAAGCCTGTATGAGCCTGCAGGAGGGTGGTAGGTGCTTGGCCTTTTGACTATTTGGAACAAGCCTTATTGGGTGTATAGCCATTGGAGCTCAGACTTGGGAGCTAATAAAGCTACATTCAGTTCTAGCTGGGGGGGGCGAGGGGGGAGAGCTTTGTGACCTCTTATCGTTTACCTTTTTCCTTTTAAAAAATGGCAGTGTCTATCTGCTAACTTCCTGAGAAGTTCCTGAATGTCCTCTGTGTCCTATAGTTTGTATGAGCTTCATTCTGTTTGTATCCTGTTCAGTGTCCCATTACTCTTGTGTACAAACAATAAAGCATTGTGAAAAGCCTCCATTTAAAAACCTCCCTTGTTTCCATTCACTTGTGGTATGTTTGCTTCTTTTCTTTAACTGCCTAAAGAGGATGGATGTGTGTCTTGTCTGCCTTCAAATCACTCTCATTACTTGTCAGACTTAGTTATTTTCTAGTAACTCATGGAAGTCTCTTGTGTTTGTAAATGTTCTGAGTTTCCTTCTCTATCCATGATCCAATGTGACAGGGATGTATCAACGGAGAAATAATTCTCCACATAATTTGTGCTTTTCTTCCACTCCCCTGATTGGTTATCCCCATCTGTATAGAAACATCTGAAAGTAATAAATGTGGCTCTCTGGCTGTTAAGTTACCTGTACTGTGGTGTGTTGGCTTGTGTCTCTCTCAACACCCTATGCACTTGCATTGCGCCGTCTCTCTGAGGGTCTTGAGAACATTATAGACAGTACTGAGTTCAGGTTGGGAAGAGTTAACCCCATTTTACAGGAAGGGGAAAGGGAGGCACAGAGGTTGAGCGACTCACATGTGGTCCCTGAATGAGTCTGTGGAAGAACTGGGAGTAGAGTCTATATCTCGTGATTTCAGTCCTGTGCTCAAACCACTTGGCCTGTTCTGTTATCCTACCGAATTCTTCAGCACTACTCACTGTTAGTACTGTAGAACAATAAAGATGTAGCACTAAACACAAGGAGAATCCAAACTTTGCCCCACTGCCACTCCAGTCACATTGGTAACTCGCCAGCAATTTAGGGTGTGTCTTCACTGCGGAATTAGATGAGCACCCAGGTCAGCCTCAGCTGGATGTGGGAAGCCACACTGCAAACCCACTCGAGCTATTGTGTCCTCTGGTGCACTCACCCGTGTGTTGCTAGGACAATTTGGAATTACCCCTCCCCTAAGAGAGCAATGAATGAAGTGAGCTGTAGCTCACGAAAGCTTATGCTCAAATAAATTGGTTAGTCTCTAAGGTGCCACAAGTCCTCCTTTTCTTTCTAAGAGAGCAAGCAGCTACAGGCTACATCTTCTCATTCTCCCTGCCTGTGCTGGACAGCCAGACTCTGTAGAAGTCTAAGCAAAATCCGCTGTGGGGACATGCTATATTGGGTAGATTGTTTGTAACTGGCGATGTTTCAGTTTCTGTGATAATGGGGAGAGTTCCAATTCTTGGTTGCCATTGAATCCAGAATGACAGCTGTATTCCAAGAGTAATGAGGTGGCTTCTACCTTTTGACCCCCAGTCCAGTGTCCTATGCACTAGACCTTGCTTGTTGTACAGCATGTAGGGAATCCTCAAAAAAGTGTCTGTAAAAACAGGCCCCACTGCCTCAATAGCCCGGCGTGTTGGGTATAGCCAGTTGGAGCAGCTGCTGGGTGCTTCAGTGAGTAACATAAGGTGTTGGCCTGCAGAACCAACGTGGCATGGGGAAAAGGAGCTAGATTTTCTTCTGGTTCCCACCTCCACCGCATTGTTCGCTAAGTTCTGATTGCAGGATCTGCATCCTTAGTGATGCACAGCCAAGTAGCCCCTAGCCTGCCTTTCCTATCGCAGGTTGAGTGTGCTTGGGCTGCCAGTTAGAAAGCACATCACTGCACATCTAAATGCAGCAAACAGGGCCGACCTCTGCCCTTGTTAGTGTTACTTTCCAGCCCGCAACCATGATTTAAGACTAGCTTTGACAAAGCATTACAAACATCTGGCAGAGCCTTCTGCATTCAGAGCAGTTGGATTAGAATGGGATCTTAAACTTTCTCCATAGCATGGACCACTGTGTCCCTCTGAACGGGGTGTCATGGGGTGAATGCTACCACAAGCTTAATGAGGATAGAGCAATTGTATCATGGAGCATCTCTGCTATTCATAACTCTACAAACCCCGTCTTTCTTCCCATTTATGAGTGAATGGGCCTCACTTCCCCTCCTGCCATTCACCGTCGTAGGGGCCACCTGCCCACCCCCTTTACAAATATACAATGGGCCTGCTGCTGCAACAGCAGCTGTTCCTTACAGGGAAAAGTCAAATCAAGGGGGGGGGAAATGTGTGATAAACAGCTGTAAATAAGGAAAACCACCATCATGGCACCAGCCAACTCTCCATCATCCACAGATCACAGCACCATGGGCCCAGCCAGCTCTCCACCCATAGATCATAGCTGGGACCTTCCTCTTGTCACGTAGATGACATTTCTTCCTTTCGCTAACATATGTAATGTGGCCACAAGGTGGCACTACCCTCCTGCTTGTTAGACTTCTCGTTGCAATTGATGTGTTAGCTCAGTTCAGGTTGGCAGGCAAGATGCATTGAATAACCCAGATTTCCTAGCTGTAAACATGGAGATAATTAGTTTGTTTTGGCAACATTTTAAATAAAAGGACTATTGATTCTCCATTAACTACTGAACCGCCACTGTGAAAGAGTAAGAACAAAAGAACGGCCATACTGGGTCAGACCAATGGTCCATCTAGCCCAGTATCCTGTCTTCCAACAGTGGCTAATGCCAGGTGCTTCAGAGCGAATGAACAGAACAGGGCAATTATCAAGTGATCCATCCCTTGTCATCCAGTCGCAACTTCTGGCAGTCAGAGGTTAAGGGACACCCAGAGCACAAGACTGCATCCTTGACCATCTTGGCTAATAGTCAAGTAGCTGGCTCATTTATGTTTGTGTAGTGTCTAGCGTGATCGGGCACCGATCTTGGTTGGCCTCTTTGCACTCCCATGATATGAACACTGAATAATAAGAGATGAGATAGGTTAGGTCCAATGGGCATGTTTTTCAGGGCGTGCTTTTTTTCCAGCGACTTTCCACATCTCCTAGTTTACCTCACTGTCACACGCTGATCTAATCCATAGGGACCCGCACTCCGATTCTCCCAAATGGAGGCTCTGAAGTCTGGATTTAGGCACCTCGGAGAAGTGAGCTGATTATTTTTTTCCAGAGGTGCTCAGCACGCCTCGATCGCATTGCAGCCAAACAGGAGCTGGGGATGCTCACCAGCGCTTGTAAAACCCAGTCACGGCTGTTGTGTTGCCTAAATACGGACTCTAGGAGCCACCTCCTAGGCACCCAGTTTTAAAAGCTTTTGCCCTGGTTTCCAACGGTGCTGAGTACGTCTAGCTCGCATTGATTTCTAGGGGGAGTGGTGGGTGCTAGTCCCCCCGAAAATCAGCCCAGGTGGCTATAGCCGTTATACATCCCATACTATCTTAGGAGGACATAAGGTCTGGTAGTTGCTTCCAACAGTAGCCTAGGCTGGGAGCAGACCGAACCCGCCCCCGGCCAATGGTGCAGTACTATGGATAGGGGTGCTGGTGGAAGCCCTGCACTGATCAGCTGGTGCCGCGGAGGATGGCATGCGATCCCCATCTCTTCGCAGGTCTAACAACACTGCTCTGCCGTCGCTCCTGCCTGTTACAGTGTGGGTCACTTGGCACAAGTGGTTTTTATAGGAAAAACCTATAAAGGAGGGAAAGTGACATCATCACTGGTCCTCATTTGCTTCACAACTCATCCCCTGGAAGCACTGGCTGGAGGACAAACATTTGGAACATTTGGTGGTCCAGGCTGGAAAGGAGAACCTCAGCCTGTGAATGAAGGAACAATACCATCAGGGTGAGATACTGCTCGATTCAAATCCTGTCTAGTTTATAGAACTCAGAGTGCAAGTCCTTTATTTCTTAGGTGACCAACTTTGATCTGTTTGCTTACTACTTATAATCTCTTAAAATTTATCTTTCTGTAGTAAATAAATCTGTTTTATATTTTACCTAAAGCAGTGGGTTTTGCTTGACATGCTTGGGAAGTCTGCTCAGGAACAAGAGCTGGTGCATGTCCTCTCTACATTGAGGGAGGGGCGGACTGGGTAATAAACTTACACTGGTCAGGCTTCTGACCAGGACAAGACGGTACAGCCCTGGGGTCCTAGGCTGGGAAGCTGCGGGGAATTGGCTGAAGCCTCTCCATTGTTGGTTCGGGGTGGATGGTGAAAGCATTCCTGTAACTCACCTGGGTAACCCTGTCTGTGTAAGTGCAGTTCCTGGAGATGTTTGCAGCTTGCCACAGCATCGCAGTGTGAGAGGGAGCCCAGGTTGCTAAGACAGAGGGCTCAGTGGTACCCCAGTTCCAGGTTGCATCCCGGGGAACCCGTCACAGACGTTTACTGACATTTACTGGCAAAACTTGAATCCTTCCAAGCCTACATGTAAGTAATAGGGCAAGCGCATCGTACAAGCCTGAATGCAACGGGGCCCATCCACAGTGAGACACATGATCTGTGCAATGAAAGGTCCAGGCTGAGCCGCTGTTTGCTGTGATCAGTAAAGCTACAGCAGTCTCGGGTATAAATTAATTCTTGTAAAAATATCTGCATGGGAAGCAACATGGCCTGGTGGACAGAGCATGGGCCTGGGAGATCTGGGTTCCAAAACCAGTGTTCTTGTCTATTAGACCTGAGTCCAGTGCCTCAGTTTCCCTTTCTCGCCCTTTCCCCTGAGTGCAGGGCCACAGCAGAACAAATACCCATGTGCTTGGAGGGGGAGGGGCTGCTCTGCTCCTGGCTCACCGCTGTGGTCAGACTGCAGCAGGCACGGGGACCAGCCCACCTCTGAGGTGCAGACACGGGGCCCAGCTCACTGGTAGCGGAGTCAAGCTGCCTGACCAAGGGAAATAGAGCCCCCCTAAAGAACAGGCCAACCCCCTCCTGGTTTCTAGGCCAGTCCCGCCTGGAGAAGTGACTCTGTGAGACCTTGAGGGAGGGGGAGGAAAAGCTGGGAGCAGTAGCAAAAGCTCAGGGAGCCTATGGGCAAATGGGGTAATTAAGGCCAGGCCCTCCGAGGACCTGGGCAAGGGAGGGTACATGGCAGGAGGGGAGGATTTAGCAGAGCAGGGGAATGGGACTAGGAGGAAAGGGAAGACTGGAGAGGAACATGGGGGTGGGGGGAAGGGGGAGAGAGGCAGCAGACAGACGGAGGTGGAGAGAGGAAGTCTGGCTGCTCCGCACCTTTGAAAATCAGGCCCCTTGACTAGGTGTCTAAATGTGCAATGAGGAGCCACAGCGTGAGCTCTGGCGTCTGAAAATCATAGCCGAAGTGACTTGCCCAAGGTCCCGCAGCGAGTCGGTGGCAGAGCTGGGGGCAGAAACCTGCTCTTCTCAGTCCCCCACTCTCATAATAAAAATGTTAACGGAGCCTCTTAGCAGCTGCCAATTTCCAGCTGCTGGGGGCAGAGACAGGTTAGCCCATAGCTGCCTCTGCTGGGGGATCTTCTGGCGCTGGTTGCTGGTGGCGACCGCTTGGCTGGACTAGATGAACCAGACCCCGCGTAGCTGCTCCTCTGGGGCTGCAGAGAGATCCCAGGCAGGA